TGGTGCAGACCTGGTGCCTCTGTGTGTGCCCACACAGCCAAATGTGCCACCCACTGCCGCAGAGGCCCCCCAACTGATCTTGGGTGTGATTTGTTCTTCTTTTTTTAGAGGATTGAAGTTCAACATTAATTTGTTTATTTGGGCTCATCCCATTTTCACGATGTGAGAGTTTAGCACAATAAATTTCCCTCTTGGGATTGCTTTCATTGTGTCCCATAAGTTTGGTATGTTGTTACAGCATTATCATTTAACTTTAGAAACTGTTTAATTTCTTCTTTAAATTCATGTGTGACTGACTTATTGTTTCTTCAGGAGGGTGTAATTGAATTTGCACGTGTTTATACATTTTCTGTGGGTTTTTTTTGCCATCGATTTCCATTTTCATTGCAGTCTGGTCAGGTAATATGTATGGGATAATTTCTATTCCTGCTCATTTACTTCAGCATGTTCTAGCTAGGAAGAATTTGCATTCTGATATTCTGGGTGGATCACTCTGTAGACATCTACTAATGTCATTATTTCATAGGTTTGGTTTATTTTTGATATTTCTTTGTTGATATTTTATGTAGTTGATCTATTTGTGGAAACTGAGTATTACATTTCCCATTACAATTGTGTTAGTTCTTATGTGATTTTTCATGTCCATTGATATTTGTTTTACATAGGTAAATGCACCGGCATTTGGTGCATATATATTTATGATTGTTTTATCTTATTTTTGTCATTTTCCCTCATTAAGTATGTAGTGACCTGCTTTGTCTCTTTTAATCAGTCTTGGCTTGAACATCACATTGTCTGCAAATATAATAGCTACAATTGCATATTTCCTGGTTCCCTTTGCACTGAGTATTATTTTCCATTGTTTGCTTTTCAGTTTATGAATTTCTTTTTCAGTTAGATATGTTTCTTGTATGCCACATATTGTTGGACCTTGCTCGTTCATCCATGTTGCTGTCTGTTTCCTGTGACTGGTGAATTGAGAACATTTACGTTGACAATTATAACATATGTATTGGTTTATCCCTCTCATATTATTTTCCTGTTGTGGGTGCTCTGTTTTTCCCATATGTCACTTGCCCTGCTTGTTGGCTTCTTCTATTAGTGTTCTTGGATCTGTGGTCTTAATTGTCTCTTTCTAAAAGTATCCTTCAGAGCATTTTGGATAGCTGGTTTGGTGGTCATAAATTTCTTCAGCTCTTCTCTCTCACCTATCTTATTTATCCTTTGATTTTGAAAGATAATTTTGCAGGGTATATCAATCTTGGTTGGAGGTTGTTTTTTTTTCAAAGATTGAAATATTTCACTCCAATATTTCTTGACTTGAATGTTTGTATTGAGAAGTCTACTGTGATTCTGATGGGCTTTCCTTTATAGATTGCATTTCTCCACCTGCTTTTAATATTGTTTTTGTAACAAATTTCTGGAATCTTGATTATTGTATGTAATGTTGTAGATTTATTTTGCTCATAGCTATTTGGATCTTATGTATGTGAATAAAATTTTCTATGATGACTATGGGATAAGTTAAATCCTACTGCCCACTGAAACTTCTTTATCCCACTTCCACACTTTTTTCTTGTCATGTGTTTACCTCATATGGACACCTCCATATTGCTTTGTAATTTGAAAATGATAGATAATCCATTTTGCTTTTCAAATGTGTTTATATTTTCACTTATTGAATTTCATTTCTCTTCTCTCACTACTCTATAGATTTTGTATAAGTACATATTTTTCTCTAATATATTTTCATTCCTATATTTCTAATTTCCAAAGCCAAACCTTGTACTTCATAGGCATTAAACATATAGAATACATGAGTGAATTATTATTCAAATGAATGACTTTTATATGAGTATGTATAAATAATTAGTATTGAAATACTGTAGTATCTGGATTTCTGACAGATAACTGTACACTTGACCAAAAAGTACTTTCTAACAGTAAAATAAATTTTTAATGTATTAAAGACTTAAATTTTGAAGTACACAACTATAAAAGGTTGAAAAGTAGAATGTATTCAGCGTAATAGAAAAGATTTATTAAAGAAGATAAAAACATATGTAATATACAGTATTTATATAAAAAATCAATAAATTTGTCTAAAATTGGATGTTTCTCTATTTGTGCACCAAAAGCCACAAAAAAAAAAAAAAGGAAAAAAGAGATTCCCAAAATAAAGTGAAATCTAACAGGAATAGACAGGGATGTAATATATGAAATGCCCATAAATGCAAAGAATCAAATCCTGAATCTACAGTGTTCTCAGAAATAGGTTAGACAGTGATGCAGTCGCAGTTCATGGTGACAGCAGTTGGTGACATAAAATGACCAGCAGGTAAGGAGCACGGGCATGGCCTCTCTACTGTACAAGGAAACACACCTTGAAATCATACTCAAGAGAGGCAGATGCTACATAAATAAAGTATCCAGGTTTCTCTGACAGAAATTTTAAGCGTCTGACAAAATGTTGGCAGCATAAACAGTAGTGGAAAATCTTAACTTTCTGACATTACCTGGTGAAAGCAGTTTGACCATTTGTTGCTAGCATGCAAGTATTTTCATTATGACAACAATTTTCACTGTAAGTAATATGCAGATAAATATAGGAGTCTATACTTATAACACTGAAGCAGGCTCTCAAAAATATTTGAAACCAAAACAAGATTTTGTAGAGGAGAATCAAAATGTTTGGTACTTAAATGACCACGGGGAAGATAGTTAAAATAAATTGATTGATATGTAAAATATCTGAATATATTTAAAAACAAAAACTTGATTTAAAAAACAATAACTGCACAGCAAAGAAAATAATCAAAAGCAAGCATAAACAATGTGGTGAAGGTGAATATATATTTGCAACTGGAGCATTCCCAGTAGTGATCTGTGAATGTCTCTCAGTTAGCTTTGTATTACAGCAGCAAACATATAACATAAACTTATAAAGAGGAAGGTTTTATTTTGCTCAGTTTTGCAGATTTAATTCATGACTGTTTTACCCTACTGCTTGCACCCAGCAGGTGCCAACAAGGTATGTCTGTGCAGGTGAGTGAGTGAATGGCATCCATTCACCTCATGGCACTGAGGATCAAAGGGGGAGAAGGAAGAGACAAAGATCCCTGAACACCTCTGAGGCCATGCCTTCAATGACCACCCACTTTTTTTTTTATAGACCACACTCTGTTAACTTATCACCACAAACCAATAGTGCTATAAGTTGGTGTAATGGTTAGGATTCAATGTCAACTTGACTTAGAAGGTGTTTAGGTATTGGAAAGCATACTTTGTGTTTGGTTGGATGGGACGAGGGATCATGATCTTTGGTACTCTCTGTGGTCCCTGACTCCTTCCTGTCAGGTATAGTATCCATAAGCTGGTTCCCAACAGCCATAAAATGAACAGCTTTGAATTCCTGTGCCCTTTTGCCCTGATGATCCTGTCTTGGGTCCTGCAGTCTGTGGACTGAAGCCTCTGAAACACAGTCAAATTAAACATCTCTTGTTTTAAACTAAGGGTCTCTGATATTTTACACCGGTAATGGGAATGTTGACCAACACAGTTAGGGAGAAAGCTTTTAGCCCTTGGACCTTTGGGAGATATTTAAGTTCCATGTATTGCACTCTGTATTTATACACATCTAATATTTCAGCTTTTGACCCATAAAATTTTTGTCCAAACTAACTGCTTATGACAAAGCTAAAAATTTCTTTTAGTACATAAATAAATGCTGTATTAGTATGTGAAAATTTCACATTGAATTAAAATTAGCTCACTGCATTATAAGAAATTTCAACTAAAATTTTCATTTGAAAGAAGAAAAATGTTAAAATACTTTAAAAAAATCAGACCATTTCTAATTTTTTCATAATATGTAGGAGTAATCACAGTGTCTCATTGACCTGATCATCTTTCTAGAAATCAGCATTTGAAGTTTTCTTTTTTTTTTCTTTTTGGTCTTTTTGAGACAGGGCCTCACTATGCAGTTCAGGCTGACCTTGAGCTCACTTTGTAGCCCAGGCTGGCCTTGAACTCGCTACGATCCTCCTGCTTCAGTCTCCTGAGTGCTGAGATTACAGGCGTGTGTGAAGTTTTAATTTCTAGTATAACATTTATGGGAGTGTTATACCAGGAGAGCAAGTTTATTTTTCAGATGAGAATTTCCAAAGATATTGTTTGATACTACAATATTTAATGTCTTCCCTAATGTGTTAATATAGAATTTGTGAATGGAATAAAATTTGGTTTTCTATTCAATCTTTTATTTTTCTATAATGCTGTACAAACATTACCAAATTACCCAATTGTGATAATACACTAGGAACAATATTATGAGTGGAATGGCACTGGTACAGAGATACAAGAGTATCTTCACACAGGATCATGTTAATTGTACCAGTCTCAGAAAGAACTTCAATAATTAATACAGTAAAATGCAGCAGGTGAAAGAGCTAGGTAAAATCATACAAACAGAGGAAGTACCCTTAAGCCATAGAGTGATGTCAAAATTAGGACATAGTATTTTATGACTACTGGTAATGTAGTATTTGAGAACATAGGTATAAATAATGAAGATGACCTACATTATTGACTAGGCTTATTTCTGCATAGGGAACTGAATTTTGTGGTAATGGTAAAATAACACTAAAGCGTTAAACCTCATAAATGTCTTGGAAATGATTATGCAGATGTGTTACTTGTGTAGTAATTAAAGTGTCTCAGAATGCCAGAATCAAATGTAACAATGTCTAGGATGACAGATAGTCCTTACTATCCTTTAAAATCTTTTTAAAATTCTCAAGTTTGTGTAGTGGTATAAACTGAAAAACAATGAATTCTACATAGTCTATGCGAGTATTTATATATGGGGGTTCAATGATGATCATGTAGTAAAGACCTGATTAAATTTCACTCTAGAAATCAAGAGCACCAGATTTAACCATCCCCATCTCTGCTGGAGAAAGCTATATCATGCCACATGATATTTAAAGAAAGGCGATTACCTGCAACGTTTACCAGCATTGTAGATCCCACATATGCATAGAATCCTTGGAGAATGGCTTCAGCAATTTGTGAGGCATCAGGAAGTTCAGCATCCAAAGCGCTCTCAAATCTGGAAACATTCTCCTTTCTCCCCATCACTAACAGCACTATCCCTGCTAGGGAAATGAAACAGAGAATAGCCACCTTCACCAAAGAACTGAGAGTCTGAAACCAGGACACTGTTTTCACTCCTCGAATATTCAGAAGTCCCAGCGACCACAAAATGGCCAAAGCTAGGCATTTCTTTGGTAGCTCTGGAGGGGAGCACCCAGCATAGAAAGGCTGAATTAGAGAGCTCGCCACCAACAAGCTTTGTGCAGATATTCCTACGACATAAGAAACAAGTTTGATCCAAGTAGAAATGAAAGCAACACAGGATCCAAGAGATCTTTTGAGGAGAAAATAAGTCGCTACACTTCTAGGGAAGGTGGCACCTATCTCCGCGGCACAGAGGCCATTGACGATATTCAGTATGCCGCAAAGTGCCCAAATACTCAGGGAGACAGGAATGTTCCCCGAGGAGGATTTCAGCACCCCCTTAGGGGATATAAATATTCCTGCCCCTATTGTGGCACTAAATAAGAAGATGTTTCCATGGAAGAACCCTATTGCCCTGGACAGTTGCATGCTTTTGCCTTTTCCTGTTTTTCAGTCCTAAACTCTAAACATGAGTCTTCACAAGAGTTTCTTTTATAGTTTCTGTTGATTTAGTAAGCCTCTCCCAGAAGAGATATTCTGTCAACACTAACCCATCTCATCCTTATGCACGTTTTTTTATTATTTAACTCAGCTTGTCCGAGTGTGGTGGTGTTTATTATTTAACTTCATTTGGTTTCTAAAATGGTTAACATTTTTTTTATGATTTTGTGTCCTCTTCCTAAAACCACAGCTGAAATGACTTATATGTTACCTATTGTTGTTTTAAAAGGATGTAAGCCGCTGAACATGTTAGTTACTGTTCATTAAGAATGTGAGATTACAGAAGGTTTTGGAGAGTGAAGTCTCCTATGGAGTTAGAACACTGTTACCTGACTAAGTCCATCTCCTTTATCCTCCAGAGCTAACTAACACTCAGGAGAGTGTGGGTGAAAAACACATCACATTTATTGAAGAACTAGATCTTTGAGAGGATGAAGGAGCTGTTGCATCTGTAAGGAAAGACTTTCTTAGGGAATATAGCTATGGTGCAAGGACTTGTACAGGGAAGGAAAAGATTTGATGGGCCGATGTGCAGGAAGTCTGCATTCTGGGCTGGTTGTCTACAGCACATGAGGTCATCTACCCTTTCCTGGCACCTCTGGTTAGACATGGTCATCTACTATGATTTCGTGCCACTGGTTTATATATCCTTTAGATAAACATTACCTTTTTGCAATTTAAGTATCACAGGAATTTACATTCTTTGGTTTAGTTGTCACGTACATCTAAAGAATAAGGAATGTTATTAGAAATTCTGATGTTATCTGAGTGTTCTTGTTTCTGTGAACCCAAACCAAGATTTTTTAAGTTTGATCATCATAATCACTTACACGTAGTTTTCCTTACACTTTGGAATACTGGGCCAAGTTTTGGCACATTTTTGCCAGGGAAAGTTACAAAGGAAGTGACCAATATTACTACACATGTATTAGGTCAGTGTGAATGATTACTGTTTGGATTTGTGCCAAGTGTCTATTTACATTTATTAGGCGAATTGTATACTCTTCATTGAAGTAGACAACAATTTTAACTTTACATTGCCATTTGATTGATATGATTTTTAGGACATGATATTTTTTAATTATACATTTTCTCATATTTGAAAGCATGACAATTGTTTTATTTATTTATTTATTTATTTATTTTTGTCTTTTTTAGACAGGGTTTCACTACTCAGTTCAGACTGGCCTTGAACTCACTTTGTAGCCCAGGCTGGTTTCAAACTTGCAGTGATCCTTTTGCCTCAGCCCTCTGACTACTGGGATTACAGATGTGTGCTATAACACCTTGCAATAACTTTATTTTACAGGACAAGTTGCCTGATAATGAATGAGGCATCAGTTCATATTAATAAGCGACTTCTTTTTCATTTCACTTTCATTGATATTTGTATGTTGACCTAGAGATCACATGTAAGCTGTTTAGGGCTAAATGTATGTAGGCCAATATTTTCTCCCAATTTCTCTAATCTATAGATTTTACTCCCAACATTTTCCAAAGATTCACTAATGCATGAATTTATTGATCAATTATTTTAAAAGATATAAGATGTGGGGAAATTTGCTTTATTTTGCTGTTTTTGTGGTGTGTCCATTACAGAATGGTATATAAATGAGCTGAGGTGGCTTTGTCCCTTGCCCCCTGTGATAAATACTGTGGAGTCAAATTATATGGAAATGCCTAGCTGATTGGTTTAGCATGGTTCTGGGTATGTCTGCATGATAGACTTACTGAAGAAGGAAGACCCCCTCTGGGGTTAGGTGGCCCCAACGAATAGGCTTGTATCTTGGACTGAATAAAATCAGAGGGAAGAAGGAAGTCTCACCTATGTTTCTCTTAAAAATCACCTGTCTTCACGTTTGCCCTTGAAGGTCCATCTCCAGGCTTCCAGTGCAGACTTTTCAATATTCCAGAACACCCTTCAGCCCTCCAAGGGAGACCCTTCTTCCTGATATGAGCTAGCACGGGACTCTGGATTGAACCCTCAGTCTTCCACCTTTGACTGGATCACCTGGCTATCTAGAGTGCATATATCTATTTTGCATTCTTGTACATCTGAAACTTCGGGTGCCCATAATAAACCTACCTTGTTAATATATATATAACTTCCTACCTGGTACTCTCCCAAGTTGTTTACTTTATAGTAGGCTGAGACTCATTACCTCAAAATAACAGAGCAAGAAACCCAAAGATTAATATATGCATTTGCTTTAAACATAGATTAATTAAGCAGAGTTATAACTATTTACATAGAGTCAACCTGGTTTACATTACCTACAAAACTGCCCTCAATCTACTTGGTATAGAGAAGCCCACAAACTACTGCTGCTACTTTTGTGAGGTGTGTGACTGAGAGACTCCCCACAGTGCTGCTACCTCATAGCACCTAGATGCAAAACCCTTTCTGGACTTTCTTCATCCCAGAAGTTCCACTAACCTTTCTGCTCTCAGAATGGTGGCCCTGGTATTGCCTCTAGGTAGTGTCCACAGTGTGAGGATTTTTGCATGCAAGTCAGTGGAGGCACAGTTCTAGTAAACTCCTCTTCGGCTTTGACTTGGCATTTACATACATTTCCCCTGTTCAGTACCTCAAATCGCTTCACCCACCGGTGGTACAGCAAATATTTATTGTCTTCCACTATATGAAGGACCAACGTAAAGATTATTTGTTGTAGTCAGGAAAGATGAGCTGCTTTTGTATCTTAATCAAGGGAAAGATAAGTAATCACATGAACACCCAGGTATGTCATGTTGCGAATGGTCATGAGGGTGAGTGTGGTGGGTTTAGTCAGGGAGGTTGTAGTACTACAGTTCCCAGATGACTGTGTTTGCAGACCACAGGAACAGTTGAGAACAGTTTAATCTTAATATCAGTTGAAAGATCACATCCACAGGAACCAGTAAGTTTCCTGTTGGTGGTTTCATTTATGGATTTCTTATGAAAAGATATTCCTACAGGTAATTCTCTTGGTATCTGGTGTATTTCTTCTATTAGCTTGTAATTTGTTGACTGAGGCTGTGCAGAAGATTATCATTAGACATGCATCTTGGCAGATGTCAGGGGCCTGGCCTATATTAAGAGCTAACACTGGAGATTTGAGGCTGTGTGTTCTTAATATGTTATGAAAATAGAGACTACTGACTTTGCTGATGGATTTCATGTGTATTTGTGAGAAGAAAACAAGCATAAAATGCCAAAAAATGTATGAGGACCAGGGAATTCAGAGTAGGACTGGAACCCTAAGAGTTTCTATTGTTTTAACTGACATAGATATTCATCTGTTGACTTATTCATAGCCTCCTTGTTAATCTCAGTGTTTTGCCATTCAGTTCAAAGTTGAATGAAACTTTCATTAAAATTTTGGAATTGCTGTGTCTATTAGGGAATTTCAAATTGCACAATATTGTCATGAATTCATATTGTCAAATTTGAAATTTTATTTACCTGATGGCATGATATTATACTTCCTCATTATTTTATTTTTCGTCTCTCTTGTAAGTAATTATAGAAAGTTCATAAGAGATTGCTACTGGCTGAGGCAAATGGTGTGTTTCTTTTTAACAACTTCTGAATTTAGATAGTGAAATTATTTTGAAGTAGACAGTGTTAAAGGAGTAAACTGCGAAAGATATTTAATGTTATAGAATTGTGTACAGAAAAGATTATAATCATAATACAGAAAGTTCATTTTATTTACATGTCATATATTTAGTACCATTTAGAAGATTAACAGTAAATCAAAGACATTCTGCACTTTAAATGACTATATCATATTGTAAATGAATTATTTATCTGGAGAATCCTTTAGATCTACAATATGAAGTAGCCAGTATATTATTAGTAACTGTTGTCCCCAGGCTGTATATTAGGACTTGATTCTTATTCACCTTCTAACCACAAGTTTGTTCTCTTCATTCAGCATCTCTCTATTTCCTTTGCCCCCTCCAACCTCTGAATACCATTGTCCTACACACTTTTATGAAAGTGCTTTTCTACTTTCAATGATGTTAATTCATCCAGCATTCATAGCTTCATATGTTGCACACAAATTTATTTCCTGGCCAAATGCGAGGTTTTCAAAACTTTCTGCTTTGCTTCTTGCACTTCATTTTCTCTGTAAATCTGGTTAAACTGCCATCAACACCCATCCCACAACTGAGTACTGTGTCTGTCTTGAAATATCCTGTACCAGCAAAGGCAGTCTGTTTCCTTTACATTTCGTCTTGTTCAAACTCTCAGCACATCTACAAACATGAGATAAGTTTATTTCCAGAATGTAACACGAATGGCCTCCACCCCGATCTCAATACAGTCCTCATTCTTCTTGGTAACATGAAGGCCACGGGTATCACTTTGTGCAGTCTTGTCAGCATTCATCTGAGCTCATAGTAGAACTGTCCCTGAAACTTCTGTTATGGTTGAGATCTAAATTGTCCCCTCAAAACCTTATGTATTCAAACGTGAGTCTTTTGGAGATGGATCAGATTATAAGGGTTCTTGTAATGGATAAGGATTGAGCTTCAACTTGATTGTCCTTAGGACCTGTCACCAGGGATTGTTGAATCACTCATGCAAGTGTGTTTGGGTGTATCCCAGGGTGATGGTCTTGGGTCATATGGTCTGGCCCCTCACCCTGTCCACTCTGGCACTGTTCCCTGCTCTGCTTATTGACTGCCATGAAATGAGCAGATTTGCCCATCTAAGGCCTTCTTCCATGATATCTCATCTTAGAACTAGCTGATTGTGAATTCAAACTATGAGCAAATAAGCCTCTTCTCCACATGTGTGTTCTCGGTATTGCATGTCTGCAATGAAATTATGTATAATACAGTGCTGTACTCCTCAAGGTCTTTTGATTAGTATTTGAATACATCCTAGCTTAATGTGCTATGAAGGGGTGGGGTCTGGTAGAGGAGATAGGTCACCTATATTGTGACCTAGAAGGATGAGATTTATCTCTGATTGTTTGTGTCTCTGTCTCTGTCTCTGTCTCTCTCCCTCTCTCTCAATGTATTATACACTTGAATAGCTATTGTCTGCTGCACCATTTACCAAGGCACAATTCTGCCTTAGAGCTCGCAAACCATGGACTGTGAGATCATGAACAAAAAATATCCTATCCTTTTTGAAAAGTCAGTGGTGGAAACTTTGCCACAGAGTTAGAAAATTACTATTAACAAATTGTTACTTTTATGGGGTCGTTGTTGTTACTGTGTATAACCATGTGACACAGCAGTTTTTGAAGCCATTTTGTGAAAGGCATTGGAAAGTTCTGGAGATGAGACCAAGAGACAATGTAGAATGCTGCAAGAAGATCTTTACGGTGCTGGACCATGCTCAGAATTCCAGAGTGCCAATAAGACTGTGGAGAGTAATGAACAGACTAATGGGGTTTCAGTAGGAAATGAAGACTCTTTTGAAAACTAGACAAGAAGACATACATGTTTTCTTTTGGCAAAGAATTTATCTACACTTTGTTCATGCCCTAAAGTTGGGTGTGAAGATGAATATAATAGTGGAAAACTAAATAATCTAACAGGAATTTTCAGGCTATAGTAGGGGAACACCTGAGTGCTTTCAACCAGACTTAAGGTGAAAATGAGAATTAAAAGAGCAGAGCTCAATGAAGTGTAAATTGTGTTGCATAAGCCAGTTTATTTGTGCCATTTTATACTAGAGTATTTTAGGGCATCTCATGCATGAGCTTTCCTTGATTCTCACAGGACAATCTGGGCTTTGCCTACTGAGCAATGCTGGAACTGTTGAAATTCTGATAATTGCTCCAGAAAGACTAAAATATATTTTGTATGCTGAGAGGTACATAAGAATTTTAGATGTCAAGGGAGAATGTAATTGTTCAAATCTAAAGTGTCCTCTAAATGTCTCTTTGTACATAAGTGGAGCTTTTAGATGGTCACTGTATTACAAATGTGCAGTTCTCCTCAGTGCATTCGTCCATTGATGAGTTTGGAGGTGAATGTTCTGTTTACATGCTGGGGCTTTTTTGGAGGAGGTGAGTCACTGAGGCTGAGAACGGTGTATTTTTTTCTTCCAATCCTCTCTTTGCTCTCTTTACTTTCTGGAGTCCATGAGCTGATGAGATTCCTACTGCATACATTTCTAGTACACTTTTTCTTCCTTGGAGCCTGTCAACCATGGACTGAACCCACCCAGCCACGCGGCAAGGTAAACCTCTTCTCATTTAAGTTGGTGAGGGTGAGTATCTCGTTTCAGTGATGGGAAAATGGCTAATGGACTCAGTAATATTTTCAGCTGTTGTTTTCTTCTCCAAATTTTGCTAAATTTTTCCATTCACCAAATATAAATTGTAAACCTCATTATTTGTGTTATTTTTCAGCTACACAGAAAATGTCTAGAGGGGAGGGAAGAATTATTTTAGCTCAAGTTTTCAGAAGTTTCAGTGGTTGGTTTTATTGTCTCTGGGCCTGTGGTGAGGCTGAACATTATGTCAGAAAGCATGTGGTGGAGGTAAGGGTCTCTTGTCATGGCAGAGAGAATGCAGAGAGAAAGACTAAAGCAAGGATCAGGAGAACAATAACCTTCAAAGGCAGTCCCACCTGACTTACATTCTGTGCCTAGGGCTCTCTTCATAGTGTCCATCACTCCCATCAACCTTCAGGGTTGACACTTCAGCACTTGAGTTTATGTGGAACGTTCCACATGCAAATTACAGCACATGTGCTTACCATTGATTTGTATTTGGAAATTGCAGCTCCTGTCTGATTTCATATGAATAAATGCATGTAGATGAATGTGTGACATTCTATATATTTTTGAGATTTTGAGATATTTTTGGGGTCTATTTGTTCACTTTAAGTTCAAAATTTAATGTTTCTTTCGCAAATATTTGTTTTTTTTATTTTAAAGATAAAAGGAGGGAAACATTAACAGACATACAACATTTTACAACATATCACAAGCACAATACATACAATACAGAGTTACAAACAAAGTGGTAGGGAATTAACAATGGTGGTTGTATTACATATTGATATCTTCAAAGTGGCTTCTCATGAAGCAAATATTTGTTTATAATCCATGTTTTTCTGTAGAAATACAATTTTGTTGATCTTCTGAAGGTGACATATTAAATAATAATTGTAAATAACAAGTGATTTTTTCAGAAAAAACAGAATGCTGATTAAGGTGAACATGGAGCCGGTAATACAGAACTCCACTTAAAACAAAGACAACTTGGTAAATATGCTCCATCTTAGGAGACTGAATGATTGGCATAAAAATTAGAAAGGCAGAAGACACTAAAGATACAAATATCATTGGCAGCCAAGCCTGAAATAAGAAAGAAAATCAATGTTAGTGATGATTTCTTCTCAGAAATTTTTGCAGACATAGGACTTTATAAGTGAGACATAACAAAAGAGAGGTAACTGTATATACATTTTCAAATAGGTTTAGATGAATATTCCTATGGATAGTCAGTTTTATTGTATGGAAAAAGAGACTAATGCACATTAAATATGTACCACAATTTTTAAATAAATTATTTCATTTCTTAATAGATTGCATCATTTATTTTCTAAAATTAGTGAAAATTTGTGCTTTTGTAATGAGAAGACACATTATTATGTGGCATACAGTAAATAAAGAATTAAATGTAGTATTTCAGCTTTAGAATTTGAAACATACTCAGTTTTTCTATTTAGGAAACCAAGCTACCATTTCTTTATCATGTCTTTTAAGTGATATGTATAAATTTCCCCTAGAGCAACAGAATCACTTGAAAAAAAGAAACATTTGATTCCAAAATATCTGCATTGAATTTCAAGGATAAGTATGTGAAAAATTGTCTTGAAGAAATAATCACTCAATTTCTTCCTAATTCACATTTATGCTTTGTGGGACAGACAAGAAAGGGCTCCTTTAGGGTAGCTTGCTATCACTGTCCAGCTTTCTAAGCTGGCTCTTTTTGATCTTCCTTCATTTGTAAAATGGTGTATTGGATAATGTTGATCTTTAAGTACTGGTGAGTAAAGCATTCATTACTTTTCAGTAGACCTTGCCGAACAAAGTGACATTCAGTGATTAACTTTTTAAATGTATGTATAGATGATTTTTACTCTCCTGTGAGGCTCATAATATCCTCTGTGGAAAGATTGACTGATTTGTCTGAACTGTCTAGAAGCGACCCTGAGACATAGCAGCTACTCACTGCATATTTAATTAATAAATGAATATTTCAAGCAAAAGTCAGCTTCATTCACATTTTTCACAATGCTCATAGGTAAGGAAGAACCTATTTGTGGGGAAAAGAGAGTGGAGAACGACACAGGTTCATGTTTCTTAAAATATGCCTAGTAGACCACTGAGCATAAAGGGTATGTCCCTAAATGTAAAAACTGAGAAGGTTTCAATGACTAAAGCTGTATAATTGATAACTACACAGATTGCTAGTGTCCCATGGAGAGTGAGTAAATGAGAACCCCAGGGATGAACATGAGCATATAAATGAAAGTAAGGACACTCAAGTGTTTATTTTAGTGACTGCATGATTTATGGGTTCCTTATTTACATTCATGCCACATCTATAAGCAAGAAGTATCTGAAATGAGTACACATGATTATATTTATAACCTGATTAGGGAAGAAACATACTCTGGAACATCCTTGATTTGCATTTTAGCAAGTTATAGCTTACTTCATATAAAGACAAGTGAAAATAAGAAAGACATATGAGGGAAATAAATACACATAAACAACATAAAAATGTGGTTCACAAAAATGCATGCCAGCAAGCTTTATAACAATTCTCCAAGCAGGAAACCACAAGGACTACGCAGTCCGGTACTTTAGGAGCAGCCTCAGTATCTCTGATATCAAGATCACAGACAATCTCACTGATGTGTTCTTGACAAAATAATGCATTCTTTGCTATAGTAAATATTAGGAAAACTTGGGTTCTTCTATCACAATGCTAGTTTTCAATTCTAGGTCAGCTCCATAAATCTAGATTAATCAATCTGAGCCTTGAAATTCTCTTGAGTAGAGCTCAGTTATTTCTAGAATGCAGACCAACTCTTTGGCCTGCCTCTATTCACACCTCGGCCTCGCTCCCTACCCATGCTCTTGTCACCGCAGTCTTTTAAAGAAGAATCTGCTATTATTTCTCCTGCATAGGAAGTCTTTGTCCTTTCACAAAATGCACATGTATCCATAAAGTGGTGCAAACCGGGGCTATTATGAACTGCAGGACTCCCACAGTCCTGGCTACAGAATGGTAGCAACTGCTCAGCACAGTAGAAGGTGGACAATGTACTAGAGAGCAAAGCTTCCTCTGTATTTACTGACCTTCCCTTTTGCTCACATTACTACCTGAGCACCATCTCCTGTCAGATCAGCAGTAGTATTAGGTTCTCATAGGAGCATGAATTCTCCTGTGAAGCACAGTTGTGAGGATCTAGGTTGTGTGCCTCTTATGAAAATCTAATGCCTGAAGATCTAAAATGGACTTGAGGAGGTGATGTTAATGCTGAGGGGGCAGCTGCTGATGTAGGTTTACATTATCAGAGAGGTTTGACTGCACGGAGGCCATACTAAATAAGGAACTTGCAGAACCCTATCAAAACTCTACTATTAACTGGTAAATTACAATTAAGTGGCACTTAGTGAAAACCTTTACAATAGGAAGTGGGTTTACATGACCATGTAGTTGCTGGAACACAAGGCCAGCCTTGGCACTGATGTCAGATTAGAGGGAGTTGTATCATGCTATTGTTATATATTGTAATGTGATACTAATACAAGAAATTTTGTAATTAGTACAATGTGCTTCAATAATGTGGAAAACATCAACCTCCTGCCTCCGATCTGTCATAAATTTTTCATCTGGGAAACTGGTTCCTGCTTCCAAAAATTTTGTGATCCACTAATTTAGCTGAACTCTGTGCACCTCACTGTGAATCCATGCATGGGGTTTGTCCCTCTAGTAAAGCAGTGCTGTTTAGTAGTATATTGTGATGGCCTTCAGTATGGCTCTGCAGAAAACCACTTGCTTACCATGCATGAGGCCTTCAGACCAAACCTCTGTTCTATACACATGAGATGTCATAGAGTAAACTCTCACACATTCCAACAGCTCTCTCATATAATTCATATAGCACAATGATTAAAATTTGATAGTTAAAGTTCACAATTTTATTATGGGCCTTAACTTCTTATACAAACTAAATATTTTTTCTCTAAAAAATTACTCTCTTACTGTCAATTCCTGAAATTTATGAAACAACACCTATCTTCCTTGTAAAAATATAAAATTTCAACTTTTACACCAAAACTTGATATAAAAGAATGAGGTCCATAATAGGCATATCATAAATATAGGAAATGCAGGCCCAGACCAGACATTTTATGAAAAGTGCCAGCAATTGTTTAGACTCATTCATATAGCTTCCACATATTTTATTTATAGACTGATAGTACTAAATTAATGTGAAGATTTCAAGTTTGATTTACCTTGTAAGGTCTTGGTAGATCTGGATGCTGGTACCTTAATTTAATCAAAGCAGTCATAGTTAGTCCAGTTAAAGCCCATGAAGCTAATCCCACATATTTCAATAAATTGGTCATATTTGATGGTATAACAGCAATAGAGGTTAAAAGGGTTAACTGGATCACAGCTGCAGCTGGAGAGAGGTGCTCATTGAGCATAGAGAAGATCAGAGGCAATTGTCCTTCTTGGCTTACAGCGTAGAGAAGCCTCGATCCAGAAAGGATTCCACAAGAACTGGTGTCAATTACTGAAGCTGAAATCCCCAGTGAAACGACCCATTGCATGGAAGGGAGCACTCTGTCCACCCATGTGGCAGCAACAGAATCTGCAAACATTGAAGAAAATTCAAAGGTCGTAGTCACTTTGGCATTTTTGCAAATTCACAGGACAATACTTCATGCTTCCTGAATCTGTTCCTTTTGTGATGTGAGTTGACTGCCACTTACATGGAGGAAATGTCCTCAACTCCTTGACTCAGTTGTGGCCTCCTTTATGTTTTGACTAAAAAAATGGAAATTGTTAACTGTGAGTTTTCAGCTACTTCTTGAGAGGTATTGCAGGCTCCTGATTTTTCTCTTGATTGCAATCCTGTCTAGCTACCAAATTAACAACCAAAACCTAAATTATCACAGGACAGAGCCCATGCAAATCATGCTATCTCTGGAAATGTGGAAATGCATTAAAGAGGTCACACCTTTAGAAACAATATTGGCCTAGAGCTTCTACTGCCTTGTGAAATCTGGTATGACACACGTTTTAAAGCAGCACTCCTCATAGGGTACTCTTAGCTAATTATTTTATGTGGCAAAGAAACATGAAGACTGATTTACCTGATGACCAATGATGGCTAAAAGGCTCCTCACATACTTGCTAAAACTTTCTTATATTCTGTGTGCTGTCTGAGGTATTTTTATCTCTCTTCCCTTTCTTATTCCCTTTACTTTGGCCCAAACTTGCATTATTGTTCCAATTCTCTAATGGTTTCTTGCCTGGTTGACTTAACACAAGCCTTGGCCCTAATAAAATTCTTGCACATGTAACCTTGTTGTGGAATGTGCATCTCAAAAGCTGGAAATAACATTCTTGTGGGACCCCAAAGAGCATGGCAAACCTTATGATAAACACTTTCCAGTAATGCAGAAATTTTCAGACTTAGAAATGGCCACAGTATGCTCACCTGATCCTATTATAAATTGGGAGATTGCAGAACTCTGCTCTAAGTCAGTACATTTCTGGAAGTTTGCTAGAAAACAGTGAAATATTGATATGGTCACCTGTAGTATTATCAAATAAAACTAAAAGTGAAAACATTTTCCAGGGGGAAGGATATTGTTTTCTAACTAAATCAAATAACATTAAAAAAGTAGGATATGATATGTATCTATCAAGCATGCTGCTAAATGGCTGAAAGCTATCGTGCTATAGTTACAGTTCAAGTGGAGACAATTGTGTGATATAATAGTGTTGTTTTACATGTAGGAGATCATAGTATTTTCCAATGAGCATTGCATGAATTATTTCATGTCATTTTTCAATACCAACTGCTTAATTGTATGTGTGTATTTGTAATATTAAGCGCTATCATTTCTTCTGGAGGCAATGCTTGTTCTCAGATAGAAAGAGGTTTTAAAGTGTTAACACTTACTGAAAGATCATTGCCATAATAGTCTATATATTTGGGTATGTTTCATTTTATGGTTTTAAAATGCATTTGTCAAATTCATGTTTATGTGGAATGAGGCACGTGAGTTCTAGGGATACTGCACTTGGAATCAATCTTACTGTTGACATGAGGTAGCCGACTATGTCTGCTTGCAGGCATTCAGGGTTATACTGCAGGATGCAGTGAGCAGAGTGTAGTGCAGAGGCATGTGGTGGATGGGCACAGGCAGTTAGATGTGGAGAAGGCCTCAGCTCAGAACCTGCTGTGGTCAGCTGAGAGGTGACTGAGTGTTGCGGTGATGATGTGGTGGTTGCAGTCCCCGTGAGAGAGAGACATTAGGAGGACAGGCAAGAAAAATGACAGCAGGGTTTAAGCAGGGAAGTGGCTTGAGTAAGTTTGTGTGTTATATAGTTATCTGCAGAAACTGAAAGGAGGATGGATTGGAAGAACTCCATAAATTAAGAGGTTGTTGCCATAAACCAGGGAAGAGCAAGGAGGTTCTGGACCAAAGCATGAAGAGTAGGAATGGTGAGGGGCAAATACTTGAACTGCAGTGAGGTAGATTTGTATAGAACTTGTGGACTGGATTCCAGCTGCAGTATAAGACAAATTAGAATTTCTTCCTTCTTTTCATTAATTAAAACCCCATCCTTTAGTGGATCTCAGCATTCCTATGACATCAAAAGTTGGGAATAGGCAATGGTAACACTCGTGTGTTTCCTTTTTTAACTTATAATTGTCTTCTTATTTTATAATCAATACATTTTTGTGCCAGTCTCTGCGAAATTATTTGAAGCCACCTTGTGACTTTTTCAATCATGGAAAATTATATATATGTTCACATCCCTCTGTGTTGGTTCATGGTCTTATTCCTCTATATCAATTGGTATATCTGCTTATTTCAGGCTGTGGTTTTGCTGTTGAATTGATTGGAATTTAGGGGGAATATTTGAAACTTAATTGCTTGTATTACATGAATTTTCTGGATAACTGCACTTCTTTTTCTGCAGGAGTAAAGACATTTAAAACTGAAAAGATTGGTAAAATTTTTTACTTATTTTCAATTTCTATTTTACTATTATAAATTATATTGAACTTTGTGTTTTTGTTTTGTTTGTTTGTTTGTTCCCGGTACCGGGAATCAAACTTGCCACCTTGAGCTTGCCAGGCAGGCGCTGTGCCGCTGAGCTAAATCCCCCGCCTCAATAAATTATATTGAACTTTGAATCTTCATTCATTTATATGTATGTGTTGTGATTCTGTACATAAGTAAGTTTTCTTGTGTGATAAATCTTTAACAATGTCTTTATATTATTACTGAGTTGCTGAGAATCAATTATAGTGATGTTTTAATACTGTTTATAAAGCACATTTTAGCACAGTGAATGAGAATATGGTTTTAAAATTAGAAGCCTGGGTTAGAGTGCTGTTTTTGTTACAATTACTATGCAAAATCAAATATTCTTTGTGGAATTTTTTCAACTTCAGTCCCTACAAAATTATTGCACACATTTGCAACCCATTATTACCAATAACCTGAAGAGGAAATAATTTTTTATAATTATAAGATGTTAGTTGATACTTGGTTTTGACTCTTGAATCTGCCCATCCATACAACATACCTTTAATATCCTGAATTTGAGAATCTTCTTCTAAGAAATGAGGATGGTATTGCCTATTTGAAACACACACAATGAAGATAGAAACCTATGTGTACCGTAAATGATGGAACATCTCAGGAAAACAGTTAACTTTTTCTGGGTACCTTTCTTATTCAAGTTTCCCCATCATTTCCTTCATTTCCACCTCCTTTCCTCCAACTCATTTTCCTTTCTCCGCTCTTCCTTCTCTGTTTAGTTCTTGCTATTTCATTACTCTCAGAATTTAGTATTTATCCAGTGTTGTCTTTTGCACATGATACAAAAAAAATTGTTCTTTCTTAGATTTTTTTGGCAAGCCAACAACATGAAAACATTATATTTATATGGCGAAAAGTGTATCAAACAGATCTATTGTATAACGGTGTACCCGTTTAAGTAGGTAGATGTGACTATTTCCTTCTTGATCACACACAATCATACCTGAGGAGATGATTTCCTTTGGTGTCAAAACTGTCAGGTAGGATATATTAGTCAATAAGTATATCACAGTCACAATAGACAAAGCAGAAATCAATGATCTGGGAATTGTCCGAGAAGGATTCTTCACCTCTCCTAAGAATGCAAGAATATTAATCAGAGCAGCACATATTATTAAATTTAAGAGTCCTTGTAATAAAATGGAGAAAAACATTATTCCAGTGTGATTATGCTTTAATTTTTCTGTGCTGATGCTACTTGGAATCAGGACATATAGTTTTACAAGCTTGTGTTTTCTATAATGTTTCATAAAAGTAAATTATGTAAGCTTTCCAAAGTCCCATTCGTCCAAGTTTGGGAGAGAAGCATTTCATTCTTATACTGATAAGTAGGTAGAACCTACATCAGGGCAGCTGCTTTTTTTTGCCAGTAAATACTCCTTAGAATATTGTCAGATGTGCTACTGAGATGAACGCATTGATACTTCTTGAAGCAAGTATAAATCTCTATTGCAGAACTTAACGTAAAGAATGTATAATGGTGCTTGGGCATTAACGTTGTGCTTTCAACCTAAGTGTTAGGACACAAACTGTCTATGTGGCTTATACTTGGTCTGGCATATGATGGATCAGAGCCATACTAAGTATGAGAGTTCTATTTATTGCATCTCAACACAGAAGAATCCAAATCTGTATGCTTAATGTTATAGTTTTGTATGTAAAGTACATGCAGTATTATTTATGGTAGCTAGCTTCTTCAGAAACAGTGATCTACCACATCCTGCACTCATCTCACCCTCTTTTTATTCACAGGATGATCTATCCTGAATTAAAGATCATCATAAAATGTTACAGTCTCCCGATCCAATGTTGCATAAAGAGGTGTGTTAGAAAAGTCAAATAAAAATTTTTGGATTAGCAGAAGCACATCTGAGACATAGTTTTCTCAAAATCTGTGCAGGGAGAATATCTCTTATCATTCACCTTTTAAAGAGAACTTGTTATCAAATGAGACGTTTTATGTTTATTTTTTGAGTTTTATTAGTATATGTTTGCCATTTACAATAGATATATTAACTAAGGGAAATTGGAACATCTACATAAAGTATTTCAATTCCCTTATTTTTCCCCTCCATGAACCCTGTTTTATACTTCCATCATTAGATTCATTTGTTTACCTTATTATGACTTTTTCAATTAATGACAGGTTAAGAACTAAAATAATAGATCAAATACCATGTAAAATGTTTGTAGTAGGTCATTTTACAATTTTAGATACTTTGTGCACATGGATTACAATACCTTTTTAAACTCAGCTTTTTCCTATTACCTGTCCTATGTGTCTATCTGTTATCTATCTATCTATCTATCTATCTATCTATCTATCATCTACCTATTTGTCATCTATCTATCATATCTATATCTATCTATGTATGTATCTATCTATCTATCTATTTATCATCTATCAATCTACCTAACTATTATCATCATTTATCTGTCTATGGCTTCTGTGCTTGAGTCACTCCACTTAGTATTATGGTTTCAAGTGCATTCTTTTTCCTTGCAATGGCTCAAGTTTGTGTTTTTTATGGCAGAGTACTACTTTATTGTATAAATGTCACATTTTGTTTATCTATTAATCTATTGATAGACTGATAGGACATTTCCAGTGTTTACCTCTTATGAATTGAATGGATGTAAACATGACTATGTATGCATCACTGTCCATGGTGTCAACACTTTTGGAAAGACACCTAGAAGTGGAATAGCTAGATCAAATGTAATTTATGCTTTTAAGCAGTTAAGGGATCACCATATGAATTTCCATTGTGGCTGTATCAGTTTTACAGTATCCCCAACAATGATGAAGTGTTTCTTTCTTCCCACAGCTTACCAACATTTAACATTGGTTGATTTATGGATGGTAGCAATTTTTGCTACTGGGATGGAATCTGTGTTGTTATACTTTGCATTACTCAAATGGCCAGTGCTACTGAATATTTTTTTCATGTACTTATTTTCCATTTGTATTTCTTAATCTGAGAAGTATCTATTAGTTCAGATGGCCATTTTTGTATTGGGTCTCTAATTTTCTAGAGTCTAATTTGTTGAGTTCTTTGTATACTTTAATATTAGTCTTTTATCTGAGGTGCAGTTAGCAAATTCTGTATGTCGTTCCTCTGTTAATGGTTTCTTTTGCTGTGTGGGGGCTTTTTAACTCAATGTGATCCCATTTGTTGATTCTTGATATTATTTCTTGGGCAACCAGTGTTTTGTTCAGAAAGTCTTTGCGTATACTTATGTCTTTAGGAGTTTTATCTAATGTGTCTTCCAGTACTTTATTTCTGTTCTAATGTTTAGGTATTTCATCTATTTTGATTTTTGATTAGTGGATGGTGAGATATATGCATCTAGGTTTAACCTGCACCATGTGGATAGCCAGTTTTCTCGGTACTGTTTGTTAAAGAGGCTATCTTTCCTCAGCAAAAGGATTTGGCCATTTAAAGAACATTAATATCTGAGTGTGTCTGTATTTGCTTCTGTATTTGTACTGTCTTTCATTGATTCATGAGTCTATATTTTGCCAATATTATTCTGTTTTTCCTTGTAGCTCTGTAGAGTAACTTGAAATCTGGGATGATTTTTCCTCACGCCCCCTGCTGGCCTGCCCTTATTATCTGGAGTTCTTTTGCTATTGTAAGTCTCTCTCTCTTTTTTCTGTTTATTTTAAAAATTTATTTTAAAAATAAAAGAAGGCAAATATATCAACAAACAGACATCCATTTATAAAATAGCATAAGAACAATACAAGCAACACTGATTTACAGACAAAGTGGTAGGAAAGTAACAATCGTTGTTGTATTATGTTTTGATATCTTCAAAGTGGTTTCTCAGGAAAACAAATAGAGACATGCAAGATTGATCAAATAAGTAATCATTAACTGTTCCTTTCAGTAAAGTGATAGAAATCAATAGTACAACTATGTCAGCTATCTTGTATATGCATACATATATAATTTCCTCTTCTTTCTTTTCTCCTTTCCCTCAGCCCAGTTGCTCTTTACTTTTGAGTATTTTCCTTGCATTTCACAATGTCTATCATACCTCCTAATTTTTATTCACTCTTTCAGCTTCTTACACTAGTGAGACAGTGCATTGTTTACACATGCAGCTCTGGTTTATTTCACTTAGGAGTATGGTCTCTAGTTGTGACCATTTACCTATAAAGACCTTGAGTTTATCTTTCTTTATTGCTGAGTAATACTCCATTATATAAAAGTATCACAACTTTTTATCCATTCCTCAGTGGATGGACATTTGGTTTGCTTCCACAATTTAGCTATTACAAATTGTGCTGCTACAAACATGGGTGCACATATATCGCTGTGATATGATGTTTTCAGATCTTCTAAGAAAATACCCAGAAGGAGAAGAGCTGGATTGAATGGGTCCTCTAGATCTAGTTTTCTAAGGAATCTCCAAACTGATTTTCACAGTGGTTTCACCAGTATGCATTCCCACAAGCTGTGGAGAAGAGTTCCTATTTTTTCCACAGCCTTTCCAGCATTTGTTCCATCTGAATTTTTGGGTTAATTTGTTCAAGCCTGAAAGGAATATTTTTGGTGTTAATGGGGATTGCATTGTCTCTCTAACAGTTTTTGAATTGTGGCCATTTTGACCAAATTTTTTCTGCTTATCCAGAAACAAGGGATATGTTTTTGTGTTCTCATGTCCTCTGTAGTCTCCTTTTTCAGAGTATTGAAAGTTTCACTATAAAGCACATTCACTTCCTTAGTTACTTGATTCCTGAAATTTGTTTTCTTAATGCTATTGTGAAGGTGTTTTTCCCTAATTTCCTTTTCAGTGAGGTTGTTTTTGGTGTACAGAGATGCTAGTGATTTTTTTAGTATTTCCTTTCTATCCTGCTATACTGGATAATTTGGATATCTAGGCAACTGTTGGTGGAAATTTAGTGGTATTCTCTTTATATCATGTCATCAGTCAAGAAAGATAATTTAATTTCTTCCTTGCCTATCTATATTGAATTTCTTTCTTTCTCTTGATTTACTCATTAGCTCTAGCTAATGTTTCAAGATATATATTTAACCAAAGAGGTGATAAAAGATATCCTTTTCTTGTTCCTGGTTTTAGGGGATGTATTCAGTTTCTCTCCATTTATTATAATGATTGCATTTGTTTGTCATAGTTGGCTTTTGTGAAGTTAAGATGAAGACCTATTACAATTTTCTTCAGTGTCTTTATCACCATTCAATGTTGAATTTTTATCTAATGCTTTTGATGCATCTATTGAGATGATCATGTGATTCACTTTCTACTTCCTTAATGAGTTTGCAGAGTACTGACATTAGATTTTCTATAAAGTTTGTTCAAAATTTGACAGTGAATCTATCTGTGTATGGTCTTGCCTTGGTTGTAGTTGTTTTTTAAAATCACTTCACTTTCACCAATATTGGTTTATTCTGGAATTGTATAACTTCTTTGACTCAGCTTTGGTAGTTTATATGTATCTAGGAATTTAGGCATTTTTTTCTATATTTTTCATTTTATAACTACAGGTTCTCAAAGTAGTCTCTAATAATCTGCATTTCAGTAGAATCCATTGTAATTTCACTTTCTTCATTTCTAATTTCATGGATTTGTATCTTTTCTTTCCTCATTTTGGTAAGATTAGCTAAGTGTTTGCCTATTTTGTTTAAAATTTCAAAGAAGTGACTCTTTGATCCATTGATTTTTTTTTAAGTTCCAATTTCAATAATTTGTGCCTTGGGCTTTATATTTCCCTTCCCTGCATTAGGTTTGAGTTTAGACTGTCACTTATTTGAGCTCATTCTGTTTTATTGTTGGAATTCACTGCTATGAACTTCCCTGTTCTGACTGCTTTCAGTGCATCTCATAAGTTTTGCTATGTTGTGCTTGCATTATTATGAGAGTTTAGAAACTGTGTGATTTCTTCTTTACTTTCAACATGATGCACTAATTTTTCAGGATAGTTTTGTTTAATGTCAATGTTTTTGCACAGCACAGGTTATGTGGTTTCTTTTGCCATTGCTTTCTAGCTTCATTGTATTATGATGGTATAATGTCCATCAGCTAAGTTTGGTTCTTTTGCATTTT